TAAGTCCCTGGGATGTACCTGTCATGCTTTCCCTCCGCACTTTCCATTATGAAAACAGTTCCATTTATTTCCTGGACAAGAGCAGCAATCCATTCTTGTGCAAAGAAAGCTACTTCCAGCATTATCAAACGCTTCCTCCCAGCTCAGAGGTGTCAAGCTCCTATTCATCACTTTTAGAAAAGAAGCCTCGTCAGTGCTGAGCCGAGAGCAGAACCCTAATAAAGTCTCTAAATATTTACTATGAGTCTGAGTTACAACACCTGGACCAGTTCCCACCCCCGCTGAAATCTGCGCACATTCTTCAAGCGCAATTATTTTAGGTCACTGACACGCCAGCCAAGAAAATGACAAGACTGTGTGCAGTGGCACAAAGAGCCGGCGGGACCCAGTTTTAAATTCTGGCCCTGCCACTCGCTAACCGCTGGGCTCTGTGCAGGCGACCTCACCTCTCCCTGTTCCCTCAACTGTAAATAGGGGACGGGAACAGTAATGCCCGGAAGTTGTATGGAGGATTTGAAAAACAACGTAAATACACACATAGGGTAACTCTGAAAAAACAAAAGGAAGCTAAACATGCTCAGAATAAAAACGATGCAACATTCACTTTCAAGTATTTTCTGATGGAGGAACCAAAATTTTTGCCATGGGGTAAGGGCAGTCTCTTCAATACATGGTGTTGAGCAAACTGGACGGCCACGTGCAAAAGAACAATATTGGACCACAGTCTCACATCAGACTCCAAAAGCAACTCTAAATGCATTAAAGACCTGAACATCAGACTCGAAACCATAAAATCCCTAGAATAGAACCTAGGCCAGTGATGGCGAACCTTTTGAGCTCGGCGTGTCAGCATTTTGAAAAACCCTAACTTAACTCTGGTGCCGTGTCAAATGTAGAAATTTTTTGATATTTGCAACTATAGTAAAACACAGACTTATATTTTTGATATTTATTTTATATATTTAAATGCCATTTAACAAAGAAAAATCAACCAAAAAAATGAGTGTCATAGGTTCACCATCACTGACCTAGGTAGAAAGCTCTTTGCCATGGGTCTTGGTGGTGCATTTTTGGATTTGACACCAAAGCAAAGGCAACAAAAGCAAAAAACACATGGAAGGAACGACACCAAATTAAAGCATTCTCAAGGCAGGAACACGTCTTTGAAAACCAGGGCATTTGTTGCCATTTCGAATGTGTTCCTCTTTGAGAAAACAAAGGCCTTGGTGATTCACACGGTGTCCTGGTGCCGTGGAACAGAGCTTATCTGGTGAGAGATAACACAGAGATTAACCAGCAGCGTGAGGAACCTGAGCGATTTTTAACCTTCCCAGATAATGAATGGATCTCTGAAGGCCAGAATTAGTCCGAAGAGCTTCCCACCACGCTTCTAAGAGGACCCAGAGGCCCAGTAACTGCGAACTCTTTTCTAATCAATATAACTAAATAACAGCAAGTCTAATGTGAGGTGGGCACCAGGCCAGACCCTATAAATACATAAGATAATTTGTTTCTTAGAAGGCAAGTATCGTTATTGCCATTTTACAGATGTAAGAATGGAGGCTCAGAGAGGGTTGGTGTTTTTTTTCAGAGTCTCACAGCTAGGACATCACAGCAGTAAAGTCTGGACTCAGATCTAACTTCAAAATTTGCTCTTTGCAATCGTCACCATGTAGCCCCTGAGGAAGGAGTTTGACCAAGAAGAAACAGGAACCAGCGGCTACTACGAGTGGATGAGTCAAAACTCAGCGAGGAAGGCAGGGCTGGCTCCCTGCCTCTTGCCTCTCTCCTGGCCCTGCTCACAGGAGCTGAACGGGGGGCTCTGCAGCAATCACCCCACCGCTGTGAGGGCCAGACCAGGGCTGTGAGGGCCAGACTAGGGCTGTGAGGGCCAGACCAAGTGGGCAGGGGCAGGACTGCTGGATTTCAGCCGCACAGCACAGGCTGCTTGCGTCAACCTTAATGGGTGACCCAGTCAAGTCACCAACTCTGGGACCCTACCTTTTCTCTTATGACACCAGCTCTCTGACTGTATTACAAGGATCTCTTTCCATGACTGTCTTCATCAGCAGACAACATGCTTGGAACAGTAATTGTACTCACTTTTTTAATCCCCAATTCCCCAAACTGCATTTGGTACAGAGTAGATGCCCAATTAATGAAAGGTACATAAACAAACAGATTCAACATCAAGGCTGGACAAGATGACTAAAGAATGCCCCTAACCCTGAGATTTTGCAGCGAATTATTCCTAAACCAGTTCTCGATCTCTGAGCGGTGGGTCAAGGTTCTTTACCAGAGAGGATGTTATGGGTGCTTCAGGCTTTCAACCTTCCAGAGCACCCTCTCTAGAAACGACTCCATCCCATCCTACCAGCACAAGCCAATGTGGCCACGAGGACAGACGCTGCCAACTGAGGCCCAGATGAGTGACGGCACTTCCTCAGGGTCAACGTTTGACCTTGAGGCTGTTGCTTCTCCAGTCTGTTCATGTGACCATGGTGCTTTTCCAGCTTATTAACAAGCCCAGAGCCTGGGCCATGTGAGGGGAGAAGGGGAGGGAGTGGGGAGAAGAGTGTGGAATGAAGGGAAGTATAAAAAGGGAGAGAAGAGGAGCTTCTCTGGCGAGTGTCACTGACAGCTGCCAGCCGTGACCCTGGGGCCGGGTGCGCTCTGAACAGGGGCTGGCTTGGGAGGGACAGATGGGCTCTCAGTGTCCCTGACTCATCCAGTTGCATCCAGGCCCTGAGAGTAAAAGCAAACTGAATGCTTCTCAGTGCGGAGTGAAAACAGGAAGTTGCAAGTGGCTTCGCTCTCCTCTCAACTCGGGTCCCTGCACTTGGGGTCAAGGGACCTATCAGGCAGCTCCCAGCAGCTCTCCTCCGCCTCCGTGGGAGTCCAGCAGCACGCAGAGGGGCCGGAAAACTGGGGACCACCTCCCATGAGCCTCGGAGGAAAGTCAAGGGGATGCCAGCTCCATCACTGTCCCATTCACGTCACAAAAACTGAGCACTATGTGCAAACCTCAGCGTGACCCCAGGGAGACAGCTCACTCGGCAAAGTGGGGACAGCCCCGACCCCACAGGGCTGCCATCAAGATGAAAGGAAATAACGCCTGCCAGCTCCCCCACCGCACTCGACATTTATTATTAGGACCGAGGCAGGATGCTGCCCACGGTGTGCCTGGGACTGTGGTGCCATGCCCGTAGGTGCCCCCCCCCCCCGCCCCCAGCACAGAGCTGGGAGCAGGAGGGGGTGTGGGCAGGTCTGTCCCCACCTCTTGCCTTATTTTCCCTGGCAGGAGGGCAGGGCCAGGATGAGGTGAAGCTCTGCTAGCCCCCAGCCTGGCCCAGTGCCCATGTTTATGACTGTTTATCCCAGAGCAAGTAGAAAGGAGAAATTAAAGCCATAAAAGACAGGACAACAGACCAATAAAAACCAGCTCCCAGAAGAGTCAGGAGGAGGAAGGGAGGCAAAACTGTCACCATGGCAACACAAGACAGTCGGAAGCATGCAAGAAAAACAGCCCCTGCTCTGCCTCCTCGCTTCATGGCAAAGCAAGCCCTGGGACCCCATTCGGAGCTCAGGGCGAGCCAGGGACCCACCCGAAAGCCCTGGCCCTCAGGCCCAGATGCCCAGCCTGCCCTGGCTGGCACCAACCCTCCTGGTGCTGGCCCAGCACAGGTCCCAACCCAACTCTGCGCCCTGGGGACTCGAGGCGGTGCAGGGTGATGATGGCTGGTGAGAGGGGAAAGTTTCAAACAGGGAAAGGAAGGAGGGCCACCGAGCAGTGGGGAGACCAAGGCCCTGAACACCAGCCCTGGGTCCCCTGGAGCAGGTGGGAAACCCAGGGTGTGGGAGGGGAGACCGGTGGCTGGGGAAGTCCTGGGGGTCTGGGGTGGGGTCGGAAAATAGCTTTGGAGATCTTAAATGACCACGCTCTTGGGCCTGGTCCCTGGGGATCCCGGCCAGTACATCAGGGCGGCTGGGATGGACCCAGGGACCACCTGGCCCATCTGACAGAGGCTTCTGGGTCCTTCAGCTGGCAGGCAAGACAGGTGTCTCCACCACACCGCCCTGCTGGCCGGGGACCAGCCTTTCAGGAAGTGGGTCGAATTGTTCCCAAAGCTCA